TGTAGATGCTAGCTGCAACAAAGTTGAGACGGATACGGCGGACCGTTGTGCGAGACAGACTGATAGCCGCAAGCACGTCGACCAGATTGTCTCGTAGGAGAACCACATCAGCGGCCTCCACCGCCACGTCAGCTCCGCAACCAATGGCAATTCCAACGTCAGCCTGCGCTAGTGCGGGCCCATCGTTTATGCCGTCGCCGACCATGGCAACGTACTCCCTGCGAGAGCGGGATGACCGACAACAACAGCACGTCCTCGAGCCTGAAAGGCCAAAGCAGGCGGTTAGATTATTGTGCAGAATAACTGGCCACAATAAAGTTGACTGACAACCTTAGATTTCCCCAGCCTCAGGATTCTGTAAAACAGGACCCGTGGTAATAGGAGTTAAAAGATTGGGGCATATCAGGGGAAAGAAAAAATAATTTAAAGGGTAGAGCGTATAAGACTAACAAATAATAGAAATAAATATTTAAATCACCTACTGTTTGGCGCGCGATAATTTAAATGAGAAATACAACCAATAGGAAACAACAACTGCGCAAAAGTACCCGCGAATTGGATACACACCTATATCAACTCTATATCGAAATCTAGAGATAAAAGTAAAACCACGAGGGATAGGCTTTTCCCCATTATTTTAAAACGCACAATTGCTTCTGATGCATTTGCACAGATATTTTAGGACGATCAGCCGAAAGGCAACCGCATGTCACTTAACAGATTAGATTGAACTAACTAAAACTACTACTAAAATCAAACTAGTAAACTAAATGATAAATTAACAAAAATAAATTTAAGCACAACCAATAAAACTAAAAGTAACCGCAGGAAGCTAAACATTTCTGTGTTGGAGGGTGCGATAATAAGCATAATTACGCTTACGAAAGTAGCGTAAAGTAGCTATTTAAGTATAGTTGTCTAACGCTGCTGGGGAACGATACTGCTACCGAATAACTTGATCTTGGAATACGGTGTAATCAACGAACGTCTAACAGACCCCAGGAGTAGGAGCGACGTTTCCACCGTTTGGGTTGGGAAAGATTCCGGTAGACGCCTTTGTTGTCCCGAGGATAACAGCAGGACAGGGACCAAGGCTTGCGCCACTGAGTACGTCTCGGCGCGTTACCGACTGCAAACAGTTCGTCCAGGTCGTTTTTTTCGCCCTCGTCATCGTCATCATCATCAGTGAAATCTGAGAAGTCGGCAGTCGGCGAGGATGGAGAAACAGCAGCGTTGGGCGGGGACTGTTCGCCTTTGAGATAGCCATTTGACACACCGATCTGGTCACCAGTGGGCACCGCGGCCCGCTTCGAGCATTCGCCATTTGAGAAGACCGGCAAAGAA